TGCCTCTGATAGAATGGCCGAATGTGCTGCTTCAAATGTATTGACCACTAGTTCATCAAGAACATCCACTTGGCAACAAGTATCTGAAGTTAATGGGTGTTTCATTGCCTTGAACACGTTGAATATGACCCGTTCATTGTCCACTTGAAGAATCATTTTTCCGTCATATACATCAATAAGTGCTCTCCCGATAGCTAAAAAAGGTCTTCCCAAGATTAAAGGAATATTTGAATCTTCTTCCATGTCCAAGATAATAAAATCTACAGAGAAGATGAACTTATGAACCTTGACTATCACATCTTTAATAATTCCCTTTAGTGTTTGATAGACCTATCAGACAGTTGAAATGAGATTGTTGTAGGTTTAGCTTCTCTCAATCCAAGAGACTGATAAACCGAGAAAGATATTAAGTTAACACTAGCACCTAAATCACATAAGGAATGCTCAAAATAATTAGAAGCAATAATGCAAGGTGTAAGTAAAGCTCCCTGGGTCCTTTAGCTTAGGATGAAGTTTTTTTAAAGAGAATTGCACTGCATTCCTCGTTCAGGTAGATTGTCTCATGTTCTTCCAGCTTCCTCTTGTTGGACATAATTTCTTTCAGAAGTTATGCAGACTTGGTGCTCTTACTATAGAATTTTCTTTTCTCTCGTTATCCTTTTTTTCAATTGGTACAACTTTTTCTTCATCATGTGCCTCTTCAACTTCTATCACTTTGTCTTTTCTATCTAGCCTCTTCACATGTATCTCTAATAATTGTACTCCACTTCTAGTTGTAATAGCTTGCACTCGCTCCTTTGGATTTATCATTGTATTGCCTGACAATGTCCCTTGTGGGCGTTCTGCAAGTTGTTGAGCCATCTGACCAATTTGTGTCTCCAACTTCTTGATCAATGCTTGCTGATTTTGAAAATTTGTGTCAATTTGTTGGAACACCTTGTCTGTTTTCTGCATATACTAATTGAACATATCCCCAAAACTAGGTTGTTTTTCCTGTTGGGCATTAATTGAACTATTCCCTTGCTGATTATCTGACCATCTGAGGTTCGGGTACTATCTCCATCCTGGGTTATGTGTGTTGTAAATATGGGTTAAAATTGCGAGAGCCGTTCTGAATGAAGTTGACTTGTTCATCAGGAAAACCCATAGACATACAATTTTCTGTCAAATGGTTAGCTCCACGATTTTGCTCATGATGGACCACTCATCACTGCATGTGCTCATCTCGTTTGTGATTTCACCAATAGCTCTACTTGCTTTGTCAATGTTGCTATATGTGCGTTGGTAGATGATGTGCTATCTAATTCATACATCTCAGATGCTCTCGGTGGTACCACTCTTTCTGTTGAAAACATTGAATGTGTAGCAGTAATTAACTAAAATAAATCCAAAGTTTGTTGTACTGATTTTCCTATGATCGATCCACCCGCAGATGAATCCACTTGAGATTTTGACAGTGGAGAGAGTCCGGTGTAAAAGTACCGCACTTAATTATCAATTGTGATTCTATGATTTGGACACTTTCACATCAGCTCTTTGAATCTATTTCATGCCTCATGATAGCTCTCTTCATCTTTTTGTTGGAAAGTTTGAATTGCCAATCTTATTTTAGCTATTTTTGCCGGTGGGAAGAATTTATTGCAGAATTTTCTGATCAGTTCTTCCCATGTAGTAATGCTTCCATGCAGTTCGGCGTCTAGCCACTCCAATGCAGAATCTCTCAGTGTATATAGAAATAGTCGCAACTTAATAGCATCTTCATTAACACTCGGAGTATGAAAATTTTGACAATTTCTGAGAAATCTGGAAATATGTGTGTTAGGATTTTCATGAGGTAGCTCGTAGAATTGGAGTGTTGTTCATCAAATTGAACCACTCTACCCTTATTTGAAAATTATTTAACCCGAAATCTGGATACACAATACTGGAACTCGCAGGCGTGGCTATGGGCGTCAAAACGGGCAAGTCTCCTTCTTTTGTTTCCCTTCGCTCCTGCTGCTGATCCGATAGTGCCGCTACTTTTGCAGCCACTTGTCCAATTGGCTGAATAGGAATATGAATATTTTGACCGTCAGCCATTTGATGTTGTTGTTTTTGTTTTTGTTCCTTGCGTCTTCGTCTGAAAGTACATTCTATTTCCGAGTTAAACGATTCAAGATCGTCACCTTGGGTACGGAGCATACAACGAACACTTTTTTTTTTTAAAAAAGAAAGTAAAATAAAAGCAAATCAAATAACAGTTAAAAATAAAATAAATTAAGACTCAAAGTAAATAGTTCCGACAACGACGCCAAAACCTTGTTGCATTTTTTATATCGCAAGTGTACGATATTGTAATTCGTAGTGCATTGCCTAGTCTAGTTTTCTTTGTGCTAACTATTCTGTTTTTATATCGCAAGTGTACGATAACTTAAGAAATAATAGAATGGACATTTGAGTCCGGATTATCGTTCCCATGAGAACTATACTTAGAACTTAATCTAATTTTTCTAACTCCTATTTGACAAAAACAAATAAATAATTATGATGACTGTAATTATTTTCCTAATTATTTTTAACTAATGAAAAATTTAAAATGATTGTAAACAATGAATAATTGAAAATTCAAATATGTGATGAATATTAGGGAATAACAATTTCATATATCGATCACCTTTATTCTTAATTCAAGATTCATAATTTAATGTAATATTCGATCGTATTCTTCTATTGTATTTAATTTATCCATCTCGAGTTCTCATTGAGCTTATTTAACTAATTAAATTTCATATCTCTACATGAATCAATTTTAGTTAAACGAAACACTGGTTCTAAGTATTCAAATTATGATCGCAATAATCAGTATATGTATCTCTACACGTTATACTAATTTACCGAATTTGATTATATGGTGTAAATCTCAAACTCACCTCTTGATTCGTAAGAAAATCACATAATCATCAAATTATTGATCAATTAATTTAATGTATTAAACTCATAATAAAATCAACACATAAATAAATAAATCACAGAAATCTTGAATAGAAAAATAAAGGATCACAAGTCGACTACATTGTCTTTCCTAACGTAAAAATTAGTTATTCATACTGTAAAAATTTTTTTTTTTTGTCATTATTCTCCACTTTTGCATTTTTTCTCCAATTCTTCATCAAACATAATTTTTACCGACAGAATACAATATAACATAAATTAGATAGAATTTAATCCAAAAATAATAAAATATCATAATTTAAGGCCACAAATAAGTATATAAACTATACTTATCAATAGTATATTTTACATAATCATGTAGGAGAATATAATATGCCCCCATTTGGTCTCCGTTATCCCAGAATTTTATTATTTCTCTCTTTTATGTTCAATCGCACAATCTTACATAAAATAATATTACACGTAAATCAATAATTTTTCCTTATTTTTAATCATACATTCTTCTAAAAAATACTATTCCAAAAATTATAATTTGAAATAATTGAGGCCAAATAAGAGATATATAATATCAATATTTTACATTGTAGATGGATAGTTAGTTACCTCCCATTTGCCTGTCTTAGTACTCGCTACTTTGTTTCTAAGCATTTTGTACAAATTGTTCACATGGAAGACAAACAATCATTGATCATTAGGCAAAATTGCAGCGAGGGTACCAAACTTTTATTTTTGCTGCAAAATATACCTTAATTTTTCATTTTTGCGACCGTAGTCCCAAACTTTTACTTTAGTTGAAGTCCATTTAACATATTACATCCACTTATCCTTTAGTCAACTCTTAAAGTAAATGTTTGATTTATCTTAACAAATTAAGTGAAGGGTAAAATAACAAATTTACAATCAATATATATATAGAAAATTAACTAATTGTCTTCTCCAAACACCCCATCCCTATTCCCTATCTCTTCCCCCAACACCAAAACTCAAGAAATCGAGCCACTATCGCCCCACCCATCTACTCGAAGTTGTACCACACACCATATATTAACACAATAGCCATCATTTCGCTAGATTGCGCCTTCGAAGTTCACTAAGTCTATCAATTGGCCAACTCGTCGGAACTCGACGACTCAGATTTATTCCCACTCCCACAACCTTCTTGAACCCTTTGTTGTCTACACATTTACTCTCACTCCACCATTTCCAACACATTCCAATAAAATCTCAAAAATAAATCTTGAATTGAGGGAAAATAGATAATTTTTTAGCCAAAATTGGTGTTAATTATGTTGACATTATGAAAGTTTCAAAAAATGCAAGTGAAGAGGATATGAAGAAGTATTACAAGAGATTGGCCATGAAATGACGCGTAGACAAGATTGCTTGGAACACTAAGGAATCAGATGTAAAGATCAAGGAAATATATGAGGTATATAGTGTATCGGGTGATCAAGAGAAGGCACACCTATGACTTGAACGGGAAGGAAGGATTGAACTATGGTTTTGATTTTGGGTCCATTTCATTGTCCAACTAACGACCATTCCATCCATTTATCCTTGTTTGCAACAATATAAAAAAGACTTGAGATTGTGAGGAATACAAAGTGAAGGTTATTGTAAAGTCTACAAAAAAAAAGGTTTGGAATTGCTGTTGCGATTATTCCTAAATTAAATTAAGGATAAAATTTTCAATGTCGCTCGTAAGGTTTGGGACACAAGTGCTAGAAAATAAAGGTTAGGGATCCTATCGTCACGACGTTCAAAGGTTCGGGGCCCTAGATGAGATTTTCCGAGAAATATTCCATTGCAATCATAATAGAATAATAATAAAACAAAATGAAAGAATAGCTTAAACCCTCGCAAATGCCAAACTGTTGAAAACCCTAAAACCCTAGAAGTCACTTCTTCTAGACTCTTCTTCGCATCTTCATTTACACAACCGCACCCCCATTCTCCAGCACCACCAATACTGATCCTATTTCTACTTCATTTCTCGACATTAGTGATTCTTCGGTTTCATTATATTTCCGCAATTTTTTCAGTTTCCGGTTTCATCCCTAGATCGAAACATGTATCGTTTTGCGGCAAATCTTGCTTCTAAAGCCAGGTACTCTACCAAATTCATCAATACACAGGGTCTACAACTGGTTTTGCATGTTTTAATTGTTCAATTTCGAATTTAATGAAAAACTCGTCTTCTTCTTGACTTTACAGGGTTGCAAGAAGGAGCAGTCAGCAGGTAATTAATGATTCCAAGGGGTTTTGTTATTTTAATTGTTTTCACATAATAAATTCCGTAGTTGATGGGTGCTAATATAGTGTTTTGGTGGGTTTAATGCAGATTGGTAGTAGTTTGGGTTGGAGCAGAAACTATGCTGCAAAAGACATTAGATTTGGAGTGGAGGCCAGAGCTCTTATGCTCAAGGGTGTTGAAGAGCTTGCCGAGGCAGTTAAAGTTACCATGGGCCCGAAGGTACTTCAGTGATCCTGCTACTGCTCCTTTCACTAGCAATTAATTTTAATATATAATCTAGTGGTATCTATTTATTCGTGTTTCCATTTAGCCTTGTAATGAATCCTACTGGTGTTTGAAAAATATGCAGGGACGCGTGTATTTAGTTTTCACGTTGTTTCAACTTTTTTCTTATCAATTTTTTTTTTGCTTTTTATCACTACTTTAAGTTCTCTTTTCTCTGGTTTATCAACGTTGTAGCTGACTGAAGTTTTGATTGTTTCAATTGGTGAAGGGGCGTCATGTTGTGATTGAGCAAAGTTGGGGTGCCCCTAAAGTGACAAAGGATGGTGTCACGGTGGCAAAGAGCATTGAGTTCAAGGACAAAGTCAAGAACATTGGTGCGAGCCTTGTAAAGCAGGTTGCAAATGCCACAAACGACGCAGCTGGTGATGGTGAGTTTTCAACTTAATTTGGTGGTAGACTGCTAATTGGTCATTGTAAATATATACATGAGACCTCCAGAATTACGTCTGGATCCAATTCAACATGGTTCTGTCAAATTCGTGCAGGTACTACATGTGCTACAGTCCTAACCCGTGCAATATATACCGAGGGCTGCAAGTCGGTTGCAGCTGGCATGAATTCAATGGATCTAAGACGAGGTATTTCCATGGCTGTTGATGCTGTGGTTACAAACTTAAAGAGCAGAGCACGGATGATAAGTACATCGGAGGAAATTGCACAGGTTTGTCTACTCAGTTCCCTACTTGCTTAATTAATGTTAATTTGTCTGCCCAGTGAGCTACAAAAGATGTAAAGGTTAACCATTGAAGTATTGTTTTTACATTGAAGTACTTCTGTGGAATTTGTCTACTCAGTTCCCTACTTGCTTAATTAATGTTAATTTGTCTGCCCAGTGAGCTACAAAAGATGTAAAGGTTAACCAGTGAAGTATTGTTGTTACATTGAAGTACTTCTGTGGAAAAAATAATGGTAAGTTTTTCTTTACTGGCTACTAATTTAATTATGCAATTGTAGGTTGGGACAATCTCAGCAAATGGAGAAAGAGAAATTGGAGAGCTGATTGCAAAGGCTATGGAAAGAGTTGGCAAAGAGGGTGTTATCACCATTCAAGTAAGAATCTATTATAAATGTTTAAATTCTCTAGAGTGGGTGACCTCTAGCATTTCATTTCCCACTAAATGTGTTGTTACATCGAGGGATTCAGCCATGACCTACCAACTCCAGTGATCTCCCCCTGGTCATTTAGAAAAATATATTCAGTGGCTGGGAGAAAGAGACACCATCTAAAGGTCTTTGTGTTTGGTATCTAGGCAAGTTCTAATTGGGAAAAAATGTATCATCAAATTCTCAACTAAAATGCAATAGATTTATATGTTCCCTGGGTGCACTGATCAGTAGTTAAATAATCTGTCTTTCATTGGCTGATATCTATAAAGTAAAAATTGATTTTCTATGTGGAATATGCATAATACGAATATTGAATAACATAAATATATGTATATATATATATGTGTGTGTGTGTGTGTGTGTGTGTGTGTGGTGTGTGTGTGTGTATATATATATTTTTTTTCAGATTCAAAGTGAACAGATTTAATTAGCTATTTGTTGCTATGACAATTTTCTGTCATGTTATCTGTAGACATGGTGGTTTTTCATAGTATTCTTGTGCAAAGGCGTAAATGCTATTAGTAAATTGACTATATTGCTGGTCTTATAAGCTGACATTTGGTTTTAGATTCATTGTTTCACACGTTCTACTACTCTTTACATCGCTTGTTTATGGCAAAGATAACTCTTTTTCCTCAGACCGTGTTTGGAGCTTAAAATTATAATTTAGCTTGCTAAATGTACCTTTATCCCCACATTTCTTAGGACCCACTTGTTTTCCCCACATTCCTTAGGATCCATAGCTTATAAGCACTACAAGACAAGCATTCAGTTCGCATCTTAAATTTTTATGTACAATCTGTAAACTAAGGCATTCATATGCTGTTGTAGGATGGAAAAACGCTGTTCAATGAATTGGAAGTAGTTGAGGGAATGAAGTTGGACAGAGGCTATATCTCTCCGTACTTCATTACAAATCAGAAGAACCAGAAATGTGTAAGTTCCTCTGCTGCTGTTACGGAAAATAATATGTTCATTACTGAAAAAATGGAATCCTTGCTGGATGAAAGTCTATTAACGATCTCTCTAACTGCAGGAGTTGGACGACCCTCTCATTCTTATACATGAGAAGAAAATTTCAAACTTAAATGCTGTTGTTAAAGTATTGGAGTTAGCTTTGAAGGTAAATCTTTCAAGGCCCTCGATCTGAACTATCAATAGTTTAAATCAATATTATTTTGCAGTTGTGTGGTTGATTCTAAGTTGCCATATCTGTCCAGAGGCAAAGACCTCTAGTGCTGGTTGCTGAAGATGTGGAAAGTGAAGCACTTGCAACTCTTATCCTTAACAAGCTCCGTGCTGGAATAAAGGTACCTCTACTGCTTTTATGATGGAAAATTGGCTTTCCAGGCAGTTGTGTTGATTTAAGCTTAATTTTAGTAATATATCTGAAATATGTGCAGGTTTGTGCTATAAAAGCTCCTGGGTTTGGTGAAAATAGGAAGGCTAATTTGCAGGATCTTGCTGCTTTAACGGGTGGCCAGGTGAGTAGAGTACTCTATTTACTGCTTCTACACAATTTTACTTTTCCCACAGCGCTCGTTAATTGGTTATTTTGCCTTTTTAGGTCATAACAGAAGAGCTTGGATTGAATCTGGAAAATGTAGAGTTAGATATGCTTGGCTCGTGTAAAAAGGTAAACTATATTGCCATTTGATGAACTTGGATGTTAATACATTTCATTCTCTTATTATGGATCTGCTTTTGAGCTTTCTGAGAGACGAAAAGGTTTTTCTTTAAATGTGATTGACGTTTCTTTTCTGCTGTCGTTCTAGATCACAATATCTAAGGACGACACTGTTATTCTTGATGGAGCTGGTGAGAAGAAAGCCATAGAGGAAAGATGCGAGCAGGTTTGTGTTGCTTCATTCACAGAACTAATTTTAGCATTTTGGTGGTTAATTAGTTATGATATACTTAAATATAAATCTGGTACACAATTTAGAATTCAACCTGTATATCACTATTTTTACAGACCCTCATCTATACTTTCAGATTAGGTCAGCAATTGAATTGAGTACTTCCGACTACGACAAGGAGAAGTTGCAAGAAAGACTTGCTAAGCTATCTGGTGGTGTAGCTGTATTAAAGGTGTAATTTCCTATAGCAGTTCCTACAAGCATTATGAGTTTAGTACTTCACTATAGTAATGTTTTATATATCTGTCTTTTATGATATGTGATTTAGTGTCTTAATTAAACACACAAATTTTCCCCTGCAGATTGGAGGAGCTAGTGAAGCAGAAGTTGGTGAGAAGAAAGACAGGGTTACAGATGCACTAAATGCCACAAAGGCAGCTGTTGAAGAGGGAATTGTACCAGGTACATTCATATATTCATGTCTCTTGTTCCTTTTGGCCTCTGCTATTATCAGTGATGATATATGCTAAAGCAATTATAATAATGCAGGTGGTGGTGCTGCTCTTTTATATGCATCAAAAGAACTCGATAAATTGCCAACAGCCAACTTTGACCAGAAGATTGGTGTACAAATTATCCAAAATGCGTTGAAGGTATGAATTTGCATTCTCGAGTTTTATAATTAAAATCTGGTCATGAATCTTTTGCGTGTGATTACGGGTTTTCATTAATTTTCATTTCTCCTCATGTATTTACATGAGAGCTCATTTGTCCGTTTAACTGACACATTGTGAACTCCTAATTGCAGACACCAGTACATACAATTGCTTCAAATGCGGGAGTGGAGGGCGCTGTTGTTGTCGGCAAGCTGTTGGAACAGGATAACCCGGATCTTGGTTATGATGCAGCTAAAGGTCTGACTTTACTAGTACATACAATTGCTTCAAATGCGGGAGTGGAGGGCGCTGTTGTTGTCGGCAAGCTGTTGGAACAGGATAACCCGGATCTTGGTTCTGATGAAGCTAAAGGTCTGACTTTACATGCATATTTTGTGCGTGTTTTGCAGGTGACTCCAGAGTTTGTTTTATGATTGTTCATGCTCCTTTTACTTGTGTAAACAGGTGAATATGTTGATATGGTCAAGGCAGGAATTATCGATCCATTGAAAGTCATCAGAACTGCACTGACTGATGCTGCCAGGTGAGCTGAAACAGCCATGATGCAAATCACTTTCGGTCCATTCCTAGATCTATGAAATATGTTTGTGCATGTGTGCATGAATACAAATATTGACTGTTATTCTGTCATCTGCAGCGTGTCTTCTTTAATGACGACAACAGAAGCAATTGTTGTTGAACAACCTAAGGACGAGAAGGCGGCCCCTGAAATGGGCGGTGGCATGGGTGGAATGGACTACTAAAACGTTTAGAAAACCGAATAAAAAATTGAGTTTTTGTGATTTTTTGATGAGTTGGCTTAGTTTGTAATCATAATGAGAAACTAACGAGAACCGGATTAGGAATCTTGGTTTTGAATTGTTTGTCGTGGAAACCATGAAGACTCGTTTTTCTTGTTTTTGATGTCGCACATTGACGCCTTTATGTGGGAAATTCCTGTAGTTCTTGCGCTATTCTAATTTGATTTTCTCAATTGCTCTCAGATCATTGAGCTGCATCTACCATATTTTTAGTTTATGAGCTGCAAAGTGATCCATACGACTTGTTTGTTATTAAATGCAATTTAGGGGCTTGCTTGAAAGTAAACTAAAATAAACCGACTTGAAAACAGAAGGGAAAAATGGGAAAATGAATGTGATGTTGAGCATCCATGAACATTGGTGTGTGCTTATTTTGTAATGAATATCTCAGAGTACAGATAAATGAATAGGGTCTGTGGACCTGATTTGAGTATATAGGGCAAGATTGCCTCCCCTATGTTAGTTGTCGCTTTTGGGGATAAGCGATTGTATCAATTGGTATTAAAATTGGAGGTTCTGTATTTAATTATTTGAGGGGAGAATGATGTACATTGTCAGCTTGATTCTAAATGATTGTCTAACTATAAATTTTGAAAAGAGTATCCTGATAGGATACCATAAAGGAAATAAAAGATCGCGAGCTGTTGAGAGGTTTTATACCGTCGAGACGGATAACTTATTTTGGGTTATGGACATACAAGGCCAAAACACGTGTTCCGGGTGTGCGACCCGTTAACATACTACTAGCAATGTGGGGGAGAAACACGAGTATCTGAAAAATTGATCAGCCTCGACTTTCGTTCCTTTATTCTACTTATACTATATCTATTCTACTTTCTTAGTTACTCTTGAAATTGAATATTCTTCGATTCATAACATTTTGGAGCTTGAAATGAGTACACAAATTTGCCCTGCACACACTTGCCAGCATATTTTCTCCCCAACTTTCACCAAATCCAATAGCCAAAAAATTACTCCGACTCACCCAAGAAGACACCACCTAATCCCAATCATTTCACCTAACAACATTCCTTATGCATTACATGCCATGACAAAAAAAATTATAATAGAAAACTTTCAAATATTACTAATCATAGCCAAAATCTACTATTCTAAAATACATTCTTCCAAAATAACGTGGCTCAAACACAGCCATAAAAGGATTTTTAATAGCATAACCGTCCAGTTTTCTCCAACCGTAACCAGTGAATTCCTACTAACACGCAGCGGGGGTTCGGCTCATTCTTTCTAGAATCCAAGAAAACTGGTTCAACCCATTTTGTTTTCACATGTTTGTCCCATTGCTTCAATCTTTGTCGACACTCAAAAGTAGGGCTGTCCGTGGGTCGGTTCGGTTCGGTTCTGAAGAGACCCGAACCGACCCAAACTTTTCTTCAAATGCGGGAGTGGAGGGCTCTGTTGTTGTCGGCAAGCTGTTGGAACAGGTTAACCCTGATCTTGGTTATGATGCTGCTAAAGGTCTGACTTTACTTGCATATTTTGTGCGTGTTTTGCAGGTGACTCCAGAGTTTGTTTTATGATTGTTCACGCTCCTTTTACTTGTGTAAACAGGTGAATATGTTGATATGGTCAAGGCAGGAATTATCGATCCATTGAAAGTCATCAGAACTGCACTGACTGATGCTGCCAGGTGAGCTGAAACAGCCATGATGCAAATCATTTTCGGTCCATTCCTAGATCTATGAAATATGTTTGTGCATGTGTGCACGAATACAAATATTGACTGTTATTCTGTCATCTGCAGCGTGTCTTCTTTAATGACGACAACAGAAGCGATTGTTGTTGAACAACCTAAGGACGAGAAGGCGGCCCCTGACATGGGCGGTGGCATGGGTGGAATGGACTACTAAAACGTTTAGAAAACCGAATAAAAAATTAAGTTTTTGTGATTTTTTGATGAGTTGGCTTAGTTTGTAATCATAATGAGAAACTAACGAGAACCGGATTAGGAATCTTGGTTTTGAATTGTTTGTCGTGGAAACCATGAAGACTTGTTTTTCTTGTTTTTGATGTCGCACATTGACACCTTTATGTGGGAAATTCCTGTAGTTCTTGCGCTATTCTAATTTGATTTTCTCAATTGCTCTCAGATCATTGAGCTGCATCTACCATATTTTTAGTTTATGAGCTGCAAAGTGATCCATAAGGCTTGTTTGTTATTAAATGCAATTTAGGGGCTTGCTTGAAAGTAAACTAAAATAAACTGACTTGAAAACAGAAGGGAAAAATGGGAAAATGAATGTGATGTAGAGCATCCATGAACATTGGTGTGTGCTTCTTTTGAAATGGATATTTCAGAGTACAGATATAAATGAATAGGGTCTGTGGACCTGATCTGAGTATATAGGGCAAGATTGCCTCTCCTATGTTAGTTGTAGCTTTTGGAGATAAGCGATTGTATCAATTGGTATTAAAATTGGAGGTTCTGTATTTAATTATTTGAGGGGAGAATAATGTACATTGTCAGCTTGATTCTAAGGGCGTGTTTGATACGCGTTATTTTTCAGGCAATTAGGAAAATATTTTCCACTTTTCACTTTTTTGGCTGTTTGATAGGCGAAATTTTCCACGGAAAATATTTCTTGGGTTTAGCCCAGTGCATTTTCCGGCTTTGTGATGAAAATTTTTTCCCGCCTTTTTGGAGAGAAACATTTTCAGGCTGGCTGAAATTTTTTTTTT